GAACTCATGGACCTCAGAGGCTGCTCGCTCTTCCTCTTCTTCGAGGTCAGCTTCCTTGCTGTCCCCTCACCTGCCCACTCCCCTCCACTCCCCTCCACTCCTCTCCTCCACTCCACTCTGCTCCCCACCACTCCCCTCCACTCCCCTCCACTCCACTCCCCTCCACTCCCCTCCACTCCACTCCATTCCACTCCACTCCACTCCACTCCACTCCACTCCACTCCACTCCACTCCACTCCCCTCCACGGCAGCAGCAGCAGCAAGAGAGCACCCGTTCTACTATCATGTGCTCATATTCACCTACCTGGATGGCCGCATCTGGTTCAGGAACTACCAAGTAAGTTCCACCAACCACTTGCAGCATGTGCTCGCATTCACCTACCTGAATAACCGCATACGTTTCAAAAGCCACCAAGTAAACACTTACACAGACATTGACACACCATGGCTGATTCACCTGGTTCTGTGCATCTCAAAAATGCATCCGTGGAGCAGCAGGGGGGGGATTTAAACGACTTTGGAGTCGACTCAACAACCGCACCATTGCTGATCCATTTTGTTCTGTGCGTCTCAGATCAGTATCCCTGAAGCGGAGGGGGCATCTAGAATCGATGGCATCACCATGGAGAAGATGTCAATAGTGGAGGTAGCAAACGCATGGCTGTGGTGTGGTGTGGTGGAGTGAGGTGTGGGTGTGTTGTGAGCGAGTCAGATATGCATTCCTGGGGCAGAGGGGGAGGTCAAAATCGATGACGTCACGATGGCATCGAAAACACATGCCGGTGGTGTGGTGCGGTTGGTGTGGTCTGATGTGGACTGGTGTGGATTGGTGTGGAATCGCGTGGCATGGTGTGGTGCGGTGCAATAAAGCCGCCTCAGAGACATGCATGTGGTGAGGAGGCATCCCTACAGTCATCGGGTCACCAGCAGAAGCATTGTTACTATTGCTCATGTTAGAACAGAGTGCAGATTGTCTTTATTTTCCCAAACCTGTCTTTCTGCCGAGCGGGTGGGGCCTCGCTTCTGTTTGAACCCCATTCTGGTATTCTCTGGCACGTTCGGAGGGCCAACTCTTTATGAGAATCAAAGCTACATCTCACCAAATAAGGTGTGTATAAACCTGGAAGATGTTGATGCAACACAGGCAGTATCGTTTGCATGTTTTTCGTACTAGTTTTGCTTACTGCTTTGAAGGGCACGCATCAACCTCGTGCTGTCTCCGCTTTTGCCCTGTCATGTTCGTATAAATGAGAAGAAGCACGGAGCGGAGAGGACTATAGGGAGAGGTGCATGAGGGGCACTCTAGGGAGACCTACAAGTTTGTAAATGCTCTTCCTGCGAAAGATTTGGCTCATGTCTGGGATGGGAAGGAGGTTGGGGAAGAGGATGGGGAGGAGTGACATGGGTATCTGAAGTGTAGTTCTTTGCTTCACTTGCGCATTCTGTGTATCATTTGGCTTTAAAACCCGCGGGCCAAGAAGTTCAACCTTAGGAAGGTTGGTCGGGGTGAGCAATGTAATTGGCCAAGATTTTGGGCGCCAGGGCCAAACTCAACCGAAGTTAGGAAGGTTGAACCAATTTAGTCTCTTGGTTCTCCGATTTCAATCACCAGTATTCATCAATATCGTGTATTCATTGATACGTCTTATGGTGGCCAACTGGTTACAGGACCTAGAGGTATTTTCAGGGTTGTGCAGACAGGTTAAGATGAATATTATTAAACATGCTTAATAAATTTCTGTAACTTGGTTGCTTCTACAGGCGTCAACGAATTTCTGAGGTCAACGTCAGTACAGTGTAGGGGCAGTACATAGAAACAGAAGACGACGCGAATGCATTGTGGTAACCTTTCGTCGTCCTATCTGCTGGCGGCCTAGCATCTTGTTTCTGGTCACCCTGCCATACCGTAGGTAGGTGCCAACTGTTTGTTTTTATGACACATTTGGGCTAAGAATATTTTTTCAGCCTTGTTCGCCAATTTTCTAACTCAGCACCTTAGGGGGTGTTACATGTGCACAATATTACGCTGGGCCGCGCTGGGCCGCTGTGGCCCAGGGGCATCCGCGCGGACCAGCGCGGACCAGCATGAACCAGCTGTTTGGACCAGCAAACGGCCCAGGTGGTGACCCAGGTTGCACCACCCACGGACCAGTATGTACAGTGGTCAGCGCACGTGCAGGGTGTGGGAGACCACTTCCAGCAGTCTACACCAGTTCGCGGCCCAGGCACTCGCGAAAACTTCACGTCGCCCCTTTTCGCTAAAACACCCTTCCAAAATCACATGCGATTTGTATTTCAGGTGTGACAGGGTGTGACAAGGTTTTCGTTCACCTTGCATTTGCGAATTGCGAAACACTTTTGCAAGTGATCCCGGTAAACTGGTACTTTCTTGCTTTCGCTGGTCCATTTCCGTGTAAATGGACCAGCGCCCAATGTAACACCCCCTTACACTCGTATCTCCATGTTCCGCTGTGGTGCTCTGAAGGGAGCGAGGTACTGGTTTATGGGGGGTACTCTTCCTTGGCTGAGTGGATCACACTTGACACTTATTCAAACGTGACCACATATGGGCTGGCTACACTAATCGAGACCCGTTTATAGCAAGATCAACTTCTTAGAGGATCTGGGTTTGAAGGGCTACACTAATCGACAAAACTGTTTACACCCTATAAATGTTTGTCTCCTCAACTGTAATCCGCTGGGTCTGTGAAACCCGGCAAAACAGAAGTTAGCGGCTGATTGCGGTGCTCTATTTCTGTCACATGCGTTGACGTGTTTCTTTAATGTTAAGCCAGTGGGATGCAACCATCGCACACTCGCTGCCCAGCGCACCTTATTCTCCGCGTAGAAACTTGCAGTCTCATGCTTTCATCCACATAGGCTACAGTGTCATTGCAGACGTGAAGTGTTCGCATGAAGTCGCATATCATCTCAGAACACGGCAGGCGAAGATCACAGCTCGTCACCATGCGACCTAACCAATCTGAAAAATATTCGCACGTGAGAATTGAAAGCTAACACGAGCAAATGTTTCCCTCGTGTGGTGTGCTTGATGCAAATTGTCGCTTGCAGCCAAGTGTTCCCCACTGCCCTTCTCTGTTTGCTTGGTTCCTCTTCCCTTCCTCTCCCTTCATCTGGCCTCTTTTGCGTCGCCTCGTCTCGTCTTGTCTCGTCTTGTCTTTTGTACAGTAGTACACCTTTTTGAAGGGGGCACGTTCTTCCTTTCCAAATACAGTACTCTCACTCCCGACCCGACCCCATCCATCGCCATCGCAGTCCAGGAAGTAGGACTGACTCTGACGGACTTCAAATACCAGATGCAACCGTCATAGTATCCATCGCATTCCTCATTCCCATTCTCATCAAACTCCAGTGAACCCCCACGCGTCTTTTCACATCAGTTTCAAGCGGCCATCCTCCCAATTCCACGGACGCTTCAACCTTGTTCAATTTCACAACCAGACTCTTGATCTTCCCCTGGCCATGGCGATTTCGAGCGCCAATGCGGCGTGCGCGTGCCTTCCGCCAGCCTGTCAGCTCTCCTGGGCGATCTTATCCGCCGTCCAACGCTACTCCAGAATCATGCCTCCTGCTCCTGCCACCACCAGAGCGCTATCTTCATCAGCACGTCCGTCGAATGCGCCGCAAGTCTGCCGATTCCATCATTACCCCCGAGAACCCACAGCGCTCCCGCCTGTCATGAAAACGCTGCTCAGTGGTTGCTTCTCGGCCTCATGCTTCCGCCGACGCCCTCGCCAACAACTCTGAGCGCGCAAACCACCTCCGGCGGAGGCTGTTTCTCCCCCTCATCACCAATGGTCCAGCCCGACTCACCGCACGTCAGCTACCGCTTCGCTGGCTCTCCAACGCCAATCGCGACGGGTTTTGAAGGAAGCTTGTCTTCCGCGGTGCGCTCGTACGCTCGAGGAATCACCATCGTCGATCGAGTCGACCAAATCGAGCGACTTTCCGGCGGAATTACAGGACTCACCGCGAAGGATCCCCGTCATCGGAGGCGACTGTCGTCCAGCGCCGTTCTATCCGGCCAACCTCCGCGAGCGCCAAAAGCCAACATCGCGGAGCAATTCGCGGGTATCAAGCCGCGTTCCAACATGCGCGGCCGCTCCCACTCCTTTGCGGACCTGACATCCGCGACGATTCCGGATAATGTGCGACTGTCGCCTGCTTATTCGCCGAACTCGCAATTCGGCATCCCCAGCGTGGCGAGATACGTGGAAGGGCGCAATAGCCAAGCAGAATGGAGCCTCTGCTCGTCCCCTGTGGCTGGTCTCGCGACTTCAGCTCGCAGCAGTAGCCAGACTGAGCCAGCATTGTCTATCGCCAGTGGAAGGAGGCCTCCCTCCCCGACGTTGGCTGAACACTTCAAATCATTTACCGGAAATGGTCGCAGGGGAAGCCGGCGGACGCCTAGCATGGGATGATCGTTTGCAGTCCCTCATTTCTCAGCAATTATTGCAGAAAGCAGGGGTCTTCAATTCAAGCTTCAACCTTTCCCGCTTTCATTCATTTTTGTTTTTGCTCTGCTGGCTTGCCTTTTTTTCGTGCTGCAAGGAATTATTCCTCATAGCATGATGTGGTTGTATGGATAATGCTGGTGCAGAAACTGGCTATATAGCTCATCAGTTATATTTGTTGTATTCGAATAGTGTGGTCGAGCAATATTATAATTAATATTAGTTTCTTCCTGTATCACCTTGGTAAAGGTTATTTTTGCATTACAGTTAATACTGAAGACTGGATTGTTTTTTTATTAACTACTGCGTAATTCGCAAGATGGACGTCACAGCGTACCTGCACTCAAAAGTGTCCAGCAAGATTCTAGGTAGTTTCACTCCATGATAATATTGAACTTGGAAGTGACAACCCCTGGTCTTAACCCCACACAATGAGAGTGGGCTATGCTAGATACTGGAAATAATTTCACAGGTTAACATCCACATAGCAGAACAAATAAGTCGCAGGACCTCATGGTCGCGAGCTTACAAGTACTTATCAATGGTGGCTGTGAGGGTAGACTTAGGAACAGCACCAATCACAGTGTCGACCTTCTTCCCCTTTTTGAAGATCATCACGGTGGGAATGCTCCGGATTCCGTACTCTGTGGCCACGTTGGGGCTCTCGTCGGTGTTCAGCTTGTAGCACTTCAGCTTTCCGTTATACTCCTTCGCGAGCTCATCAATGAGAGGAGCAATCATTCTGCAAGGGCCGCACCATGGAGCCCAGAAGTCGATCAGGACTGGGACATTGCTCTCCAGAACGAGGTTCTTGAACGTCGCATCCGTCACGGGCCCCGCGACTGCAGGCGAAGAAAACATAACAAAATTAGCCAATCGTCACGTGGGCATCGACGAGCCGTACAAACGCCCTAAAAATATATTAACGAACCTTCGGTGCCGGTGGCTTCGCACACAACGCGGCAAGAGCGCTTAGACACACGTTGCGAGAGGGATGCCTTCACAGACTGGCGGAGAGAGGTCGCCTTCAGGCCATTGAAGGAGACAATGCTGGTCCTGCTAGACACCTCAACTGACGCGACTGCGGGAGCGCAAATCGCGCCAGAAATGGCAGACTGAGCAATGGCAGCCATTATGATAGCAGACTGATGTGCGTAGAGTCTACTCTGCAATGCCTGCCTGGAAATCTGAGCTCTCAGATCTAGCAGAAAGTGGTTTCCTGCACTCTCAAGAAACCGAGACTTCTGGAATGAGCCAGTAAAGGAAGGGGAGGGAGTCGAGACAGAGGGGAGGGGTGAGGCAACTCTGACCAGTCACGTGTTGGGGGTATGGAGGGGGACGAGAAGCTACTTTCAGTAGATGCCCTCCACGTATGCATGATCTTGTGGCAACTTTTCCACGGCGGGTTTGGGAGAGGAAGACAACAGGCTCGATCACTGGCCACGCAGGCTAGCGATAATGTAGCGCTGCCAGGTAGATTCGGTAAAGTGATGGTTTGTGATTTCCGAACCAAATTGCGGTAACCAACCCCCCAACCTCCGTCGCCCAAAGAATCTGATTCTTATGGAAATGTTGACGCCGTGCCATTTTTACGAAAATGCGCCGGTTACCTCCGACAACAATTTATCAATTTCGTCGTTTCGTGAGTGCTGACGAAGCTTGCTGTTTACCAGGCATGGCATTTCGAATTGAGACAACCACACAGAGGCAGGTCTTGCTGGGACATCAAATTCTCCTATCACAGTTTCACATCTCTTCCCCAGCCATTCACTAGACATGGCGCTCACTGCCTGCACCGTATCATGGCCGGCTGTCGCTCCGACTGTTGCTGTCTCTGTCGCTCGGTCTCATCGATTGAGCGGTAGTCCCTTCAAGGGAGTGGTTAAAAAAACCAACCTTTCCGCCAAAAGTCCGTCCAAGCTGGTCGCCGTCAGGGCTAGTGCCTCAACTGACACTCACGATGCAGACACAGGAGCGACAGCTAACTTGAAGGAGTTTTTAAGCGATCTGAAGAACGTCGGCAGGGCAAGTGTCCAGTGACGGTGCGTGTGTTTTTTCGTACACATTTGCCACTTAGTCCTTACCTAATATAAGTATATCCACACGTAACATTGCAGGTCCGGCTGATTGTTAACACTGGATTGGGCGTTCTCGAATCGGTCACAACCCTAGATGGGCTTTTTTACCACACGCTTCCAGGCAAAGGCGAGTATGCCAATGTCATCAAGTCAGAGGAGAATGTGGACTTTCACCTGCTGTTGAGCTCGGTTTCTGGTGCGAAGCTGATCACAGGAAAGTCCATGCGAGGTGACTTTCCCACCTACACTGTTCGTTTCTTGAACGCGGAGAAAGAAGTTGGAGCCAGTATCTTCGTCATGTGGAAACCAGGTGCTTTTCTCTTCTCCTTCACACTTATCCCGTTCCCTGTTGCTCACTCGTTCTTTCTGATTCCTCAGCACTCACATTTACTTACATTGTACGTGCAGGCACCATGGGTGATTACGACGAAGGCCAGGCTGATGCCTATCAATCACTTGTCAACAAATACGGCGAGGAGGTATCTTTCGCCTCAACGGAGTATGATATTTAAGTTTTGTATGCGACCAAGGTGGTGGAGCATTAGGTTGATGTTCCTCCCAACCTTGCAAACTTGTCAAGATTATAGTTTATGAAACTCTCAAAGATCCTTCCTCAAGTGCTTATTGTAGTAAGCTAAGCCATCACATTTCTCTTTCTGGTGGGAGTCAGGACATTCTGTTCTTTCTCTAACACTCTACCCGAGTTACGAAGCCCGATTACCAACTTACGGTACCAACCATGGCCTACAATGAAATGTCAACATCCCATTTCTGCCTGGTACTGGCTTCCATTTAGTGTTCTAATCTACATTTTTTTGAAGGAACAGGGTACACCCGTGCATTTACGTGTGCACGACCTTCTGTCAATCTGTTCGTTACAATGGAAGGCTTTCACCTGGTCCTCAGGGTATCCCGTTACAGACAAAACCAGCCTGGTGTGTGCACTGTACAGTAGCGCGGAGCAGGGTCAAGCTGCAGACCCCGACACCCTCCCTCCCTTCCCTCCAGCAAATGTAACGAAAACAGCCGCTTTGGCCCTGCCTCCCTCACAACCCGAAACACTTGTCCCCCGACCTGACAGCCTCCTTCCCTCCCTTGCTCCTCCTCACTCGCATCCATCACTCTGGCAGGCCTAGTCTCTCTTGAAATGGAATTTTGGAAGTCGTAGCGACTCTCCCCTTCCCCCCCTTCCAGCTGCTGCAGAGCCAGCACGTGGCCCACCCACCGTCCCCCACCCTTGCTCTTTTTCCCCGTCTTACTGCTACTGAATCAGGGGTTGTTCAAGGTCAACTCTCAGCAGCAGGGCCTGGCAGTCTCAGTAGCAGCACGAGTCATACATCCAATGCAGTTGGGTCACTCATTTGTGACACAGAAATGCATGCTCCGCCTCATCTGTTGTCTCCTTCGCTAATCAACTCATTCTGAGCTATATTCGAGCGTACTTCAGCAGATTCCAGATTCTCGTGGATTAGCACGAAATCTTTCTCACGTCTTGATCATCACAATGAGCCTGGTCTTTCCGAATTCAGGGAAAGCAGCCGCTATGTCTGTCGTTCTACTAGTCCTGTCGCTACTGATGTCAGCGTCCATGACGTCGGGTGCCCTCCCGCGCAAGCTTCAGACGACTGCGATCTATGTAGCTCCTTCTCAGAGTAAGCGCCGGTAACATCTGAAACTGCCACCTTTCGAGACGCTTCACCACTGACACATTGCAACATTCCATCATCGTCACTTCACACGTCCCCATCAGCGTCCCATTGCTCCATCCCTTCTCATCGCGGTATCCCATCATCGTCACATTGCATGTCCCCACGTCGTGGCGGTCGCATTCCTAGCACAATGTGCTGCACATTTCGTCGCCATTCGCCGTGCGTCGCTTTGAGAGTCGTCTGCACGCAGTTCCACATCCCGATATCACACTGTGCCGTCGTCAGACCTGTTTAGGATCCCATCCGCCAGCTATAGTCCCGAGGTGTTATCGAAACTGCGGTGCTCGTCGAAGGTGGACTGAACCACCGCTCAGTCGCATTACTCAACCCGTTCGGTTTCCTGAAGTTCCCCATTGTGCCCTCCTTCCCTCCATCACCTTCTCGCAAGCCTTATGCCCCTTCAATCCCCCCCGATAATGGAGCTGATGGCAACCTTCGGATCGTTCATCAACCTAAATGCCGTGAAGCGTGTAAAGTCAGCTTCCCATTCCCCTCCTCCCACCTCCCCTTTCCCTTTCCCCTCTTCCCCCTCCGCGCCCCTCCGCCCGTCACTCCCCACCAAGTACCGGCGATGATGGAGCTGAAGGCAGCACTGACGCCGTACATCAACCTCACGTCGTGAGACGTGTGAACACAGCTCCCCAAACCTCTCCTCCCAACCCCCCCTCACCCCGCTCCCTCCACGTGTCCCTCCCTCCCCCCTCAGTGTCGGCGATGATGGAGATGAAAGCAGCACTAACGCCGTACATCAACCTCACGTGGTGGGACGTGTGTAGTCCGCTCCCCAACGCTCTACTTCCCCCATCCCCTTCAACCCCTCACACCTCAACCCCTCCTCCCCCGACCTCGCACCTTCCCTCGGTCTCTCCGCCTTCTTCCCCCTTCTGCTCCTTTCCGGCTGACCTTCCCCTCCCAGTGCCGGCGATGATGGAGCTGAAGGCGGCGCTGACGCCGTACATCAACCTCACGTCGTGGACAGCGACGAACCAGTGCTCCTCCGAAACCACCCACCAAATCCCCCCCCAAACCACCCACCAAATCCCCCCCCAAACCACCCCCACTTCCCCCCTCTCCCCCCGCAGTGCCGGCGATGATGGAGCTGAAGGCGGCGCTGACGCCGTATATCAACCTCACGTCGTGGACGGCGACGAACCCGTGCTCCTCGTGGTGGCTCATCACGTGTTGGACCAACGGGCTCGTGCGCCGCATGGACATCAGCTCCAAGGCCATTCAAGGCAACCTGCCCTCCATCATCGGCAACCTCACCAGCCTCGATGAGTTGTGAGTCTCCCTCCCTGCTTGCCTGCCTACCTTTGGCTGCGTGCCTGCCTGCCTGCCTGCACAGCCCTGCCCTTCTCTCTCTCCCACCTTCGTGCGCCGCATGGACATCAGCTCCAAGGCCATTCAAGGCAACCTGCCCTCCGTCATCGGCAACCTCACCAGCCTCGATGAGTTGTCCTTGACAGTAGAGGCACGGGAAGGCGGGAGGCTGGGGGATGGGATGGGAGACGGAGAACGCAGTGGTGTTTTAGAGAGTGAGGTGGAGTTTTGGGGATAAGGCAGGGATGGGATAGGTCCCGGAAGAGGGGTAAGGATGACGAAGCACGATTTCCTGACCATGGATATGCACTACTACGCTTATTCCCTCTAATCTCACTCGCGTTTTTCCCTTCTTTTCCCCCATTCCCCTTTCTTTTTTGCCAATGCCAGTTTTGCCACCACGAATTGGTTCAACGGATCCCTCCCCGACTCGTTCAGTCGACTCACAGCCATCAGGAACCTGTCAGTCCGCACATACCCCTCCCCTCCCATGTACTCCCATGACAGCACACACGCACCTCTGTTCTGTCACCTTTGATAAACTCCAATATTGTCCATCCTTGGTCCATTCCCCGCGTCTGTGCATCCTCTCTTTCGCTTCTTGGCTCACTGTCCTGCTCGGCTCATCTCCACGTTGCAGGCAGCTGTTCAAGAACGACTTTGAAAGTCCCATTCCTGATTCACGGGTCAACATGCGCACCTCTCACCGTCCCCTCTCACTCGCAACACCCCTCCCGCGCCCTTCCCCTCTCCCTCTCTCTGCCTTCCACCTGCAGGCAGCTGTTCAAGAACTACTTTGAGGGTCCCATCCCCGATTCATGGGGCAACATGAAGAACCTCGTGCAGCTGTGAGCCACGCTTTTAAACGTCACACATCATGCTGCCATATAACGTGGTATTCCATCCATGCTATGGCATGCCATGCGATGTGTCACACCAGCCCATGTCACACCATGTCTTCCGCTGTCACACGATTCCATGCCATGCCATAACATGCCATGTCATCCCATAAAACTGCATAACCAAAAAAAAATCTATGGCACATGCTCGCACGTCACTGAGCCCATGCCTAAGCTATACTATGGCATACGCTAGCCCATCCATGATCAGATCCTCTGCCATTGCCTCTTCCCTCTTAACATCCACTCTCTCCCTCAGCAAGCCCACCTCTGTTTCTCACTTCCCTCCCTTCCTCCTTTTCTGTGCCTCTCTGCCCTCATCCGTTTCTCCTACAGACACCTTAACCTCAACTACTTTTCCGGGGGGCTGCCCGACACCTTCTCGCAGCTGACCAACATGCAGAAATTGTGCGTTCCTACCATGCTTTACATCCCACCAAGGAAGTTCTGACTCTGCAAACAGGCTGAAAGGTCAATGCTGAGCGCACGTGGCAGCGTCGAGCTATTCAGGCCTCTTCATTCATCTCATTCTAGGCTTTTGGTAATTTAATGAGTCAAGCCGCTGATCCGCTCGTACATCCGATGCATGGCATTGATCTGCTTGTCATTTTCTCCTTCTAGTACTGTCTTCCTTGCATTGTATTCTCCTCTGGATGACGTCTCATCATGAACCCCTCGGTCTCGTCACGTCCTTCCGGCATTCCCCTCTGCAACAGCTACGTGTCCAGCAACCTGCTCAACTCCTCCTTCCCCACAGTCGTGTGCACCATGAAGAACCTGAGGGAGCTGTGAGTTTTGCTCTTTCAAGTTCAACATGTGAAACTTTGTGCCTAAAGATCTGTCTGTCTGACCAGTAGTTCTAAGTTGACACACTCCCTTTGGTTAACACATATATATGAGTACTACTTGCAGCTGTATTGATACCCATAGGTTACTCTTGGCTGCCCCATTCCTTATCCACTTCTGCATTTTACTCCTCGTCCATCTTTTCCTCCCTGCCCCTCTTCCTCCCCCTACTCCACCCGTCCCACCAGTCGTCTCAGCTACAACCACTTCACAGGCTCCGTACCCTCCTGCCTCAGCAGCCTCTCCTACCTCTACTATCTGTACATTCTCTTTTATCCTTCTTCGCTCTCATAACCTACCATCCCTCTGAATACGCCACGAAGCTCCTGCGACAGTTACCTCTGTTTACCATTGCACTCATAACTCCTTGCGGAGCTCTTCATTTCTGCGCTTACTACCTCTACATGCCGCTCTTCTCGAACACTCAAGACATCGATCATTCGTACATCATCCAAACGCGACATATGCATCCGAGCCTGGCAGGGGCCCCTCCGATTCCTTTCCCTCCTTGTAACGAGACGAGTTTTGAGTCGCATCAACATCCGAGCCTTGCATGGTACCTTCCTCTCCCTGCCCTTACTTCACACACCATCAGGTATATCGACACCAATCAGCTCACAGGCACTCTCCCTGCCACCATCGGCGACCTTCCTGCCCTGCAGAACTTGTGAGGCCCTCTACTCTCAGCCCGCTCCTCGTAAACCCTCTCTTTGTGACCCTCCTTCCCTGTTGGCCGTCCTGCGCGTGCCAACACTGCACTCCACCACCCGCTTGGCTTCTGTCCTTGCTGCTAATGCTCACCACGACCCACTCCTCTCCTCGCCCATCTCCTCCTGCTCTCTGCTCCCAGGTTCATCAATCAGAACAGCCTCAGCGGCCCGCTGCCTCCCACCATCACCAAGCTCACCAACCTGCGCATCCTGTAAGCTTCAAGCCTGCTATACAGCTTGTGTCTTCAGGCGCTTCAATCCCATCCACTTACTCATACCACGCTCTCGACTGATGAACCTGACCCTCCCCATGCATTAACGTCGTGAACCTTCCCCTCCCTCTCCTCCCCCCCTGTAACACACCCGTTCCCTCTTCCATCTCATATCTTCCCGTGCCCCAGCATTACCTTCTGCTCTCCCCACCTTTCCTCGTACTTCTTCCGTTTCTCCTCTCTTCCCCTGTCCCTCCAACCCTCGTCTCCCTCCTCCAAACCTGTTCTCCCTCCTCTCCCTCCCCCCCGTCAGCTTCATGAGCAGCAATCCCTATCTGGACGGCCCTCTGCCATCAGACCTTGGCAACATGGTCAGCCTCACGGACTTGTGAGTGCCCACTTCTGCACATGCAGATTTTTTTTTCCGCACTTGATCTTGCCTTTTATGTCCTTAATCTCTTGTTTCTTAACACTACCTTTCATCATGCCGCCGCACTTTGTCCTTTCTTGAAATAATTATGCTGTTGCGTGCTAAAGGTTTCACGATCTCATTCGGCCTCTCCTCCTCCCTTTCCCTCCTCCCTCTGCCCCCCTCCTCCTCTCCTTCCCCCTACTCTTCCCTCCTACCCGTTCCACTGCCAGAGCGTGATGGATTTCGCAGCCTTCAAATTGCCCTCACCCCCCCCTCTCTCTTTCCCTTTCAACCATCTCCTTTCCTTCCCCACACTGCCACAGCGTGATGGAGTTTGCAGCATTCAACGGCACCATGCCTGATTCCATCACCAAGCTCACTCGCCTCTCCCGCATGTAAACCCCTCCCACCTGCCTTGCCATGCCTCCGTCTCGCTCTCACTGCTTCCTCTCCATACCTTCTGCATACCGCCCTTGCTCGTTCACCTGCTGTTCACCACCACCATTGCATCGCTTCTATCCAAGCAGTAATCATGTGTTCAGCCTCACCTCTCTGTCATCTCCTCATCCACCCAGTCTGCTTGACTAATAACAGTTCACTCATGGTTCATCGTCCCACTTTCCCCACCTCCACCACCCCCTTTTCCCGGTCCCTGTCTCCCGTCCCCTGTTCAGCAACTCTTGATTTCCCTCAGATCACCTTGCTGCCTCTCTTTCTTTTGCTTACACTTCCCTCACTTCCCAATAGTCTGCTGGACAACTTTCAAGTCACAGGCTGCATCCCACCCTCTCCTTTCCCTTCATCCTCCCCGTTTTCCATCCCCCCTCTTTCCTCACCCCAGTCTGATGGACAACTGCCGCTTCACCGGCTCCATCCCACAGGGCATCAGCAACCTCAAGGCGCTCACCGTGCTGTAAGCCCTTGCTTGAATGGGTGCTTGTTAATGTGCATGATCCAGCTAATGCTGTGGTACTCGTTCCGAGTGGGGTTTTCTTTGCTGTGATTCAATCGACTTCTTGCATGTCTCAATGCCCACCTGTCCCAACCCCCACGCCCTTGCATTCTGTTGGCTTCAATCCTGCTCTCGACCCTCAAACCACTTAGAACCCAACCCCCACGCCCTAGCATTCGCTCGTGCTTGCATGTCACATGTCCCTCTCATCTTGTCTCCATCTCCACCTCTCTGCAAACCTCTACCGCCATAAATGAACCCCAACCTCAACCGCCAGGTATCTGGAGGGCAACCGCTTCCGTGGCAGCTTCCCCGCTGGCCTTCTCACTCTGCCCAAACTCAACCTGCTGTAAGCCCTCCCTCACTCACTCATTCTCGTGAGGGAAGAACACAGCGCACGCTTTTATTCAATCTGCAGCACGGCACGGCATGCTCTTCTTGCCATAAGTACCTGCCGTCCTTCCCTCTACAAGCTCCTGCTCTGCTTTCCTGTTCATTTTCCTAACCTTCTCCCACGTCTTCCCATGCCCTTTGTAAATTATCCCCACTTCCTCCCACTATTTCCCCCATCCCCTGTCGACCTTTCAAACCCCGCCACAGAAACTTGCACGACAACCAGTTTTCAGGCCCTCTCCCGTCCGGCTTTTTCAACGCCACCATAGTAACCGCCGGGCAGATCAACATTCACCACAACTACTTCAACGGCCCTGCCACCGTCATCGCCGGCGCCTCTCCCTTCTGCCCCAAGGACCAGACCCGCAACGGCATCTTCTACCAGTCATCCCTCGCATACAACTGCATCAATTATCCCGCCACCAGTGCATGCGCGCTCGCGCCCAGGGTCGAGACCCAGCTTTCGCTCACCACTTGCCAGGCGTTCTGTGGCGCTGACGTGGCGCCGTGTGGTGGGCACGGCACGTGCTGGTTTGGGGTTGGGCGGAGTGTGTCGTGTGATTGTGACCCGGGGTATGTGCCCACCCTGGATGGGCTGTCCTGTGTGGCCGACACCACTGGCGTGGTGGTCTAATGTGGAGTTGTGTGGCGCCTCGGAAGTCACAGTGTGTCATGTGATTGTGACCCGGGGTATGTACCGACTTTGGATGGGCTGTCCTGTCCTGTGTGGCTGACACTGCTGACACAGTGGTGTGAGTTAAAGCTCGAGGCCCAAATTGTTTAATGTTACTAAGGATGACCGCTGGGCTGTGGGGGAGGTACTCACAAAGGTGGGCGGGGGTGTTGAACGAGGGGTGTTACAATTTCGCCCAACCCTTAGCTACCGTACATTTTCAAGGGGTGGGGGTTTTTGAAGTCCCAAGTTGCAACGTGCTGGTTCACAAGTTTCCTATCAGCACACCATCAAGATTACTAATCAAGCCGTGCGCCATCCGCAATTTGGGCCTTGAGCTTTAAGAGACGACTTTTGAGGCGCCTCGAAACCCGGGATGTGCGCCGACCTTAAACTGGCTATCCTGTGTGCAGCGCCCTATATATCAGACTTCTTACCTACTCTGATTCAGAGTTCGTTCAGGCTTTTTTTTGGTACCTAGTCTGAACTCAAAGTTTTTCATTATGGACCTTGTCTGATTTTTCAGAGTTTTTTTTTATGACTTGGCTGAAATTTCAGCCTAATTTTATGAGTGTAGGCCAGGCCCTCAGATTGGTTTTGGGCTAGTATGGAAAATCAGAGTTGGTACATGAATATACTCTGAAAATCAGAGTTTTTCCTGCAGAAATGCCACTGCACACTAGAAAAAAATCGCATTTTGCCTGTTTTTTCTCAAAAAAATACTGAATTGAGAAAGCTTGCTTTCTGTTCTTGCAAAGGCAACGTGCTTCATTACAGTTGCAGTAATTTCATCATTCTCGTCCAACCTAATTATAGATTTTACAAGTATACGACTAGGGTGGGTGGGTGGGGAATGGAACTGCAAAGTTCCGAAATGAAGACGTGGGTGGAGGCCAAAAGGCCTCCAACCCTCGTTATGTACTCGGCGAATAGTAATTCGCCGTTGCCTTGCTTCGCTACAGTAAGCTGCGCTTTCACAATACACATTTTTAGAAAGTGTTACACACTTTCAAAAAAAATCATATTTTCAGAGTTCACTTCGAAAAAAAGGCTGAAATATCAGAGTTTTTTAGACAAATCCGAGAAAATTCTCTGACTTTTGGGGGCCTGGTGTAGGCTAAGCCCTCAGCCTTGTATCGGGGGTGCACTCTGAAATTGGTAATACATGGATTTCCGCCAGCATGGCAGCGTGTAGCACTAATGTCATAGTGTGAAGAAACAGGAATGAATGACTAAGGAATGAGTAGGGTACAAATGTGAAACCCTAGCAAACTGTACCCCATAGTGTCTACCCCACTACAGCCTAGACAGGCTATGAGATTAATGTTTGACACACCCCCATAGGTAAAGTGGGGGAGAACAAGGGGTCACAAGATCAGTCAAGCAAAGCAAAGCAAAGCAAGCTCAGGGTGGATCACAACGTCACCACACATTCCGGGCACAGGTTCAAAGGCCACAAGGCCAGTTCACATGCAGGATTATATATAAAAGGTAAACAAGCAGGTGCAGGTATATATAGATCACAGTACAAGGAACGTCAAGAGGTAAGCAAGTGAGGCCAAGTAGGCACAAGACCTAGCATAGTACAGAAGCGCTGATGATCACAAGGCTGAAGTGCCTTGGTGAAGATATCAGCAGTGTTGGCCTGGGAGGCCACGTAAGCAAGACGCAGCTGACCACGCTGCTGCAGCTCACGAGCAAGGAAGTAGCGGAGAGCAATGTGCTTCGTTCTGTGCTCCAGTCTGTGCTCCCGACACAAGGCCAGCATGGCCTTGTTGTCTACGTACAGAACCGGAGGAGAACAAGGCGGCTCACTGAGGTCAGTCAGCAGGTAGGTGAGCCAGCGTAGCTCCTGTGCAGCCATGGCCCCTGCGTAGATCTCAGCCTCACATCTGGAGCTGAGAACAGAAGACGAGCGAGTAGACCGCCACGAAACAGAGCCGGAACCAAGGCTGAAGGTGTAACCCTGTGACGACCGCTGCGTAGCCAGGTCGTCAACCCAAGACGCGTCTGCGTGACCAGTGAGGACCACTGGACTCCGCCCTCCAAGCACGAGCCCCATGCCCGACGTACTGCACAAGTGGCGCAACACCCTCTTCGCTGCAGCCATGTGCTCTGGTCGGTGTCTCCCAGGAGCAACATAGCGTGCCAAGATGCTAAGAGGGTATGCCAGGTCAGGTCGAGTGCAGGTCATCAGGTACATGAGGCAGCCAACAAGCTCTGGGTACGGGCCACTCGGCTCTACGGACTCATCCGAAGGCAGAGCTGAGAGCGAGTGGCGAGTAGACAGAGGAGTGGCCTGAGGCGAGGAGTACGTGAAGTCGAAGCGCTGAAGGACCTGCTGCACCATATGTGACTGAGTCAGGGTAATGGTGCGCCGTGCTCTGTCCCGGGTGATCTGCAAGCCAAGATAGCTGCGCAGTTCACCCAGGTCTGTGCACGTGTGTCTCTTCTGCAGCTCGGACTTCACATGGGCAAGTCCAGCAGTGTCAGCCGTAGCAAAGACCAAGTCGTCGACGTACACGAGGATGTAGAACGGCGGCAGCAAAGTGTCGGTGCGAAGAAACAGCGACGGGTCAGCAGTAGAAGGAGCAAACCCAAGAGCCGCAAGCGTAGTCCTCAGTGTGTCGTGCCACTCACGGGGCGTCTGGCGGAGACCGTAGACTGGCCGCCGGAGGCTCCACTGGGTACCAGGAGGAAACGACCCAGTGAAGCCAGGTGGGCGGCGCAGCCAGATCTCCTCGTGCAGGCTGCCCTGTAGGAAAGCAGTGCTGAAGTCAAGGGAGTGAAGCTCGTAGTCACGCTGAGCAGCGACGTGCAGCAGAACCCGAAGAGTGGTCATCTTCGGGGTCGGGGAGAAGGTCTGAAAGTAGTCAACTCCCTGCCGCTGACTGAAGCCTCGAGCCACGTAACGCGCCTTGAAGACAGGCGGAGAACCCGGCGACCGCTTCACCCTGAAAATCCACATGCCACTGACGATGTTTGCCCCAAGTGGGGGAACCTCGTCGACGTAGGTGCCTGTGGACTTCTAGGAAGCCATCTCTGCGTCCATGGCTGCCTGCCACTGAGAGGAGTAGGGACCCTCTATCGCCTCTGCGTAAGAGCGCGGGGTCGCGATGTCCGGTGCATCCGGGTCTCCCTCAGGGGCAAGCAGCGTGGACACGAGATGAGGTAAAGCAGCAGCAAAACACTGGAACTCTTCCTGCCTGTCCTCAAGGACGTCCGTGCTAAGAGCACACTCACCCCCGACGGACGGAGGACAGACAGACGCAGACTCAGCAACAAGACTAGCGGCGTAGTCTAGACGACAGTGAGCAGCGAAGTCGACAAGCTCGGCAACTAAGGCAGACGCAGTAGCGGACTCAAAGGAAGGGTCAGTGACAGCAGTGGCTAGGAAACGCGTGACCGTAGGACTGGCAGCACGACGGGAGTCAGACTCCGGGTCAGCTAGAGCAGGAAGAGAGGACGCTGGAGGAGACGGCAAAGGGACACGCTGTGGCGCAGTGGAAGGACGCAGTGCCATCTGATGCGTGCCCGGGACCGGAGGAGGACGCTGACGTGGAACACGACGACTAGTGCGAGCAGTGCGAACAGGTGACGCAGGACGCGACTCAGGCTCACGACGCTCAGCAAGACCGCCAGTAGGACCAGCGTAGGGAGAAGGAGCAGGTAGAGGGGAGGCGAGCTGTAACTGTGACTCGGACTGGACAGGCGGTGGACACTCTAAGGAAGGAGCAGGACCAGAAGAAGGCGGAAGACCAAGAACCTGCTCAAGGAGCAGAACGAAGTACGGCCGCAGCCGCGCAGCACCTCCAGGACCAGCAGGAACAGCACCAGCACCCCCAGCGTCAGCTCCAACTCCAGCAGCACCACCAGGACCAGTAGTACCTCCAGCAGCTCCAGAAGCGCCAACTCCAGCACCCACAGGAGCACCGGCTCCAGCAGCACCTCCAGCTCCAGTACCTCCAGCAGCTCCAGCTCCAGCAGGACCACCGGAAGACTCAGCAGCTCCGGCTCCAGTACCGCCAGTAGCACCTACTCCAGTAGCACCTCCAGCAGCTCCAGAAGCGCCAACTCCAGCACCCACAGGAGCACTGGCTCCAGCAGCACCGCCAGCGCCAGCTCCACCAGTAGCTCCAGCACGTCCAGCAGCTCCAGTACCTCCAGTACGAGCACCTCCGGGACCCGTGGCTCCAGCACCCCCAGCAGAAGCCGAACCTCCAGCACCAGCAGTACCACCAGCTCCAGCAGCACGGCGCCAGCACCGAGCAAACCACTCGCGCAGCTCGTGTGGAGAGGGAAGCTCCCGCCGGGACAAAGCACCCGAAGGACCACCAGGTCCAGCACCGGCAGGCTCCACACCCCCACTCCCAGCAACCCCAGGCTCAGCACCCCCAGAAGCAGCACCCCCAGGCTCCGCACGCTCAGGTACAGCACCCCCAGACCCAGCACCCCCAGGCTCCGCACGCGCAGGCTCAGCACCCCCAGACCCAGCACCCCCAGGCTCCGCACGCTCAGGCTCAGCACCCCCAGACGCACCAGAGTCAGCAGCTACCTCGACAGGCTCGACTGCATCTACCTAGGACACACCTGAGGGGGCAGGACCCTGAGGGGGGAGGGAGTCTACCGGGGGGGGACCGGGCGCGAGGAAGAGCGGCGGGGGGGGGAGGGGGGCAGTGCGGTAGGGGAAGAGACGGTAGTACGGAACCGACTCGTCAAACGTGACGTCCTGGGAGGACAGAACACGACGCGAGGTGGGGTGGTAAAACTGCCAACCAGGCGCATCAGGGGGAAAGCCGAGGAAGACGCAAGGAACAGCACGGGAGGACAGCTTGTCCGTAGACAAGTCTCGAACAAAAGCTCGAGATCCCCAGACACGGAACGCAGACGCATCACCAACCTTCCCCGTCCACCGCAGAGTAGGGGAGGTCTCCGGCAGGGAGACCCGGGGCTGAAGGTTG